GATTAATATATATATATATATATATATATATATTGATTGAAATTGATATATATATCTTTACAATGGTAAATGCGATATTTCCAAATAAAGAATAATTATCCTAAGACAAAAACTAATATTTATAATGCGTATATATCGCTTTTAGTTTGAAATAAAAGAGAACAAAAAACAAACTTACAGACGTGGAGCAAAAGTAAACGCTATATAGAAAAATCAATGAGGTGTTTTCATATCATGAGAGGAATTTATGGTGATGGAGGAGGTATAAAAAATACCTAGACTTTACACTTTTGAAGCCGCCCAGGTTCGAATCCCAGCTGCAGCTGTATAATATGTATTCTGATCCCGGCTCGCACCGACTATAGTGGTAGGCATATCATAGGTTAGAACCCCCCTGCTGTCGTTCTGACAGGTTATCTGACAGGTTTTCATGGTTTTTCTATCCATGTAACGCAAATGTGGGTGAGATCCATCAAAAAGCTCCCCACAAAGACTAGTTCATACCACTGCTTAATTCAGGAGTTCCGTTGTTTTCTGGGTTGGGTTCAAAACTATAAGATTACGTACATTGTTTGTCGTAAACACAGAATTGAGTCGACTGGTAACAATACTAAAAAAAGCTTGTAGTTAACTATTACGGAGTATTATTCCTTTACAGGTTATTTTTTTCCTGAATTTTCAGTATTTAGAATTATAACCAAGGAAATACAAAATAATTCGAATTCATTACAAGTAATTGTTTATTCTTATTTATTCTTAAGGAATTTATTTGCTCATTTCAAAAATGGAATTGAAAGAAATTGCTGTTTTAATGACTTTTTTGTTCTATACATAATTTCTAAAAATACGCAAGCTTTAAAGCGGAAATAAAAATTTATATTATTAATATGATTAAAATTAGAAAAATATTATGCTGATTTTCCCTACAGAAGGAATTCTACTAAAATGTTTTGTTTTTTCGAAATTAGTTTTTGTTCGCTCTTGTTTATTAAAAAACTGAAAGCGCTAATTTATGGAGATTATACAATTAGGCACTGCATTTAGTTCAATTTAATCAAAAGGGAAAAAGAATGTTCTTTTTTCAAATTTCTTGCTTCCTCCATTATAACAAATTTTAAGACAAAAATTATGAACGTTATAGTTATTAAAATTATGAAAAACACTAAATAGTTGTTTACTCGTATTTAGCTTTGAAAGATAGAAATGTTTATTTCCGAAAAACAATAAATAAAATAATGAAATCCTTTTTTCAGTGACTTTCCTATCATAAACCAGCTTGAAGCGAAAATTAAAATTGTGATTTTCATAAACTTTTAAGTAAGATTATAAGTTCTGAATATAAAAAAAACTAGCAAGCAAAACAAAAATCTTTGAGACATGGTTCATTCTTCTTATTAAATTTATAAAATTTATTTCAGTTTTCAGTTAAGAATTATTAATCCGTTACATTATTTTTGGAAGGTGCTACTTTAACAGAATTTTCATTTCTAAAAATATGCTTAAAAAAAACTTGTTTTTGAATCGCAGAAAGCGCGGAACAAATCCAATATTTTTAATATATAATTTGATTCAGTGGAAGATATGAAGGCAAAAACACATTCGTATTTATACAGTTGATTGAAAATGTTTTCTTACAGCGAATCGGATTTTTCTCATTACTGCTATCATTTACTCAAAAATTTCTTTTCAATCTACAGAAAAAAACAAATTTTTCAGGGACAGATTATATAATTCAGAAAACTGCATAGTTCTTTTGTAGTTAAGTTTCGATGTATCGTTTTTCTCTTGAAGGGATAATATTTCGTACCTTGGATTATTTTTTATCATATAATATACACATTTTTCAAAATAAAATGTCCTTCATATTCTATTCCGATGTGAGAACTTTTAAATTTACATCTTGACAAAAAATGTTTTATTCAGGACAATTTAGCTAAATATAATAGCCGACTTTAGGAACGGTTTTTATTAAAAAGTACTTAAATCATATCATTTGCAGGGAATTAGAATATTATTTATAATTAAATCTTTGTCGGCAATAATATAAATTTATACAAATATTACACATTATATACTTTTAAAATTCACCTGACAATGCAATTATCTTGATCACAGAAAAATGCATTATTATTCTTAAGCAGCTTTCTTATACTGTGAAAAAAGTATGGTCAAAACTATCAGGATATGTAAAAATTCAGCGTGTTTCTGGCTCTATGGGAACACCAAAAAGCTCTGTAACTTTTACCAACGTGCTTTGATAATGACTTTGGTAAAATTAACTATAAAATATGGTTCTATAATATATGATAAAATGTTATAAGTTTTTCCAAAATATGGTTATTTTACCTTGATACCTTAGAGTATGGCATAAAAAAATTTTTTGGTTTAATTTACTTTCAGGTTTTTGCTTACTAAACGTGTGTAAAAAGAACTATAATTTTGAAACCTGAATTTCCGGTAAATCGTTACTATACGAACGGAAAAATTACTAAATAAAAAGTTTAAATACCGTATATTTCCATAGTATTTTTTCGGGGTAACACATTATCTTAACTTTTTGCGGTTTAACTTGTTATTACTGTTTTATAAATTTATACACAATTGCTATATCCTATTTCATTTATCGTTTTCGTTATTTACTGCATCGTGTCATATTTCCTACGCACCTTTTTTACCTATCATGTGTAAACTTGATGTATTTATACCTTTCTATATCTAATTTTATACACTCTTATATGTATCTATTTTTGCAGGCAATATTTTATAAATTATATTATACTATGATAGTTTTGCAAAATGTAGATGCAATGTATTTTTTATCCGTTTCGATATATTGTGTAGTGCGTGCAATATGTCTTTTTTTGGAACTATTGTACTATTTTAAACATTATACTTATTTAAAATTCTCTTACTATTATTTAAAGTTCTCATTACCTTTTATGCATCAAATAAATAAATAAATTTCGCGAAATGATATGCTTTCCTCATTCCTAATGCTCTTTTTGGCAGGTTTTATCCCGATCTTTCATCCCTACTTAGTGACCCTATACATCACAATCTCATCAAGTTCATCAAAACAATAGGACTGTATTCATTAATATAAATAAAAGTGCAATTCTTTTACCTAGTGACTGGCGCAGTATAGCCACTTCTGTCTGTTGTGCCAATAAACTTCAACTAACCAACCAGCCGTCCTAATGCTTAAAATTTTTATTGGAATTTGCAGTGTGACTTGAAAACAATGTTTGTAAAATATTAGAATTTTATTGCCAATACTTTTATGTTCTTAATTTTTTTATGTTACTAATTAGTCTTTTTTATGTTACTAATTAGTCTTTTTTATGTTACAAATTAGTCAGAACATATATATTTTAAACATTTAGTAATTTTGCCGTTCATACGGTAACTGTTTACAGGAAGAAAAACAACTTTTCTTTCCATTTAAACTTTCGTGAAAGCAATTTTTATAACGTCAACCTTAAAAAGTCATACATCATACATTTGAACGAACAATAATGTGTAGGAAGTCAAGTTCAATTGATCAAGCTTAAAGAAAGGCAACGGACAGTAAAATAAACAAATAAAACAAAAACACACCATATCAGTCACAGAATTGAATTTGACACAAACCTCAGTAAAAAGAAAGACGAGAAAGGAAAAGAAAGAAAAGTTTAACAAGGAAAAGAAAACTAGATCTGAACGGGCTAAAGTACCTATCCAGTTTTAAAACTTGAAAAATCGATTTTGCAACAGCTGATAATACTCTTGAAAATCCCAATAGATGGCGTTACTGATTGTTTCTTCGCTCTTCAGAAATGAGGATTCACCAGGATGGATGGGGTAAAGATCAGAAGAAGCGCAAGAGGAATTTGTGCCGAATGTGCTGCACAGAAGATCTCGATTCGGATTTGGAGAAGAAAGATGCCAAGTGATGATGCTTACCTACAGAACCACGTGGCGCGCTCATTTCTTGGCGATATTTGTCTTCGCTTTTGTTGTCTGCTGTTACGCGCAGGGTGAGTTTTTAAGCGATGGTAATTTATTATTTTCAAAAGTTTGGCCACATTTGAATGCGTAAATGTAGGATAGAGAAAAATTACTTCCAAAAAAGATTGGGATTTTATTTCTTTAGTTGAATTTAACAAAACATTTGTATGAAATAAAAATAATTTAGAAGATAATGATAAAAAAATAAAAATAAAAACAATGGTAAAATTTTATTTAATGTGCTACAAATGTAATAGATATTTATTATACATTGCTTATGACATAAATACCTGAAAAGAAATATTTTACATTTTAGAAAATAGATGAAATTAATTTACAGAAATAAATAAATAAATTTAAATTTGATTTGTTTTCTTACTAATAAAACAAAAAATCTCTTTTCTGGTATCTGGGTTGAAAACAATTAATAAAAGGAAACATTATGATCCAGATATACAATATAATTTTGGTCCAGATAAGTACTTTAACAGATTCACAAGAAATATTATGAATTTAAATGAATTATTCTCTTAAGACAGAAAGACTATATGTTAATTAATGTTTATATTCTATATATATAACATTGTTATTACAATAAGAACCATCAGGATATAAGGATGACGAATTATTGAATAATNTGTGTGTGTGTGTGTGTGTGTTATGAGATGAGAATGATAATGACAGTACACTATAAAAGTGCTTGAGACAATCGTTACTACCATAAGTTTTAATAAGGTTACATTTGAAGGGTTACTATCAGTTCAAGTACGTTATTGCAATGAAGTTGCTTTATTTCTATAATACTGTCCTTTATAGTTATGAAGATGCTTTATTACACAAAGGTAAGGTCTTTATTCCTTACATAATTCAAAAGTTATGCAATGTTTTGGACGGAATCGTAATGGCTGCCATAGACAGTAATATTAGGAAATCAACACATGGAAGCAAAACTTAAATTAAGCTTTACAATATACTGTCGTTTAAGTAGTTTTTTTTTAAACTTGTACTCTAGAAGTGGTGCATTGTGAAAAATATTAAATTCCATGGAATGTAGCACTTCAATCACTTTTAATACTATTTAAAGAAAAGTGATTTTTTAAAATTGTTTATTTAATTTTAAGCGATTGCTTATTTATTTGTAATAAGAAGACATGCCACATACGTCAAGATTATTTTGTAACATAATCACCAATGGCGATTACTGCCTGCGATAGCTGCCTGCACACGTCTGCAGGCAGTTAACGCAGAAATGGTACAAATAGTTCTGAATTCTATAAGGTATCGAACACTAAACGCCTTGTTGGTAGCGCATCTGTGTTTTTCTAAATATGTATAGCGCATTTTTTCTAGCAAAGGAGTGAATATGTGGCATGATATTCGGGGGTAAAATTAAGCGAAAGTCGTGTCCGTGTAATGATAACACTTATTAAGTGAATATGAACATTGTTTTTATTTTTCAGGAATTTCACCACATTTAAGCGCTGATTTCGTTTGTTAATTAACTGATATTCTCCTGTCATACTAATTGCAACATCACTTTCCAATGAATGACTTTGATAATTTGGTTGACAAAAATATTCAATTAAGATGTTTTTACTTTAGACAAAATATTTAATTTTTACAAATTCAAGTTATATTAAATTAAGTTAAACTAATTTAAGTATGTGGTAGCCTAAGTAAAAATTGAAACATTTACAGCATGCCTAATAAGTTACAATGCTGTTTGAAATGAAGACTTGCAAAAAGTGTGGTTAAAAGTATTATGATTTTATTTATAGCGAAAATGATGACATTATTTTCATAAATATAATTGCAGGGCGGTTGATATGATTCCTGACAGTAGCACCTAAAGTTTACATGCTAAAAATTAAAGTAATTTCTTTAATTAAACTCTGGGGGACTGTTTCATTTAAAATTCTTAAACTGGCATTTTTACGGACGTTTGGAATTTGAAGTGGTTAACTTTACACTCACTTTGTACCTCTAAAATTTCTGCACTCAACAGTGTGAGTGAAAGAGTGATATACATTATGGGCATGAGGGCTATGTTTTCGGCTATACCTCATATAACACTAGGTTGGTAATAGTAGTAATTTATTTACGTCACTCTATAGATGGTGCACAATGGTCTGCACGACGGTCTGGGAATCATTCCAGAGGATGATTTCGAAGAAATGCCATCACAATTTTGATCCTCTGCAGATAAGATGACCCACCCGCTTTGATAAGCTGATGACCTGCGAACGAAGTCAAGCATTTAAAGGTAGAACCTATAAGCAAGTTCAGATACTGAGCAAACTATGTCCCTTCGCAAACTGATCACTGCAGTCCGATTGTTCACCAGTAAGACGTAACTTCAGGTATTTACTGGTAGTCGTGTCATTCGATTAGTCTACTAAAGAACAGAACTGGGTTAAAATTGATTTATATAGGTTGAATTTCTGAAAACTCAGTAGAAATTAAAATAAGTTAAATTGATGCAACTCTGACAAAATCAAAATAACTATGTTAAAATTGAAATATCTACTTTAAAACCAGTTCAACAGTGTTTAAAGGAGAACTTGATTGAATTATAATGACTATTGTTATTAAAGTAAATAATTAATTTTGGTTAGGTCTGCCTGCAAGTGAAGTATTTTAAATCAGAAAATAACCGTTAAAGCACTGTAAAAAAACAGAGCAAAAATATCTCCAAATACTTCCCAAACAAGTAAGAGTCAAATTTGAAAACACAATTTATTCGAAACTGAAACAGAATCTATTCATTTTTGGGCGAAATCATTTTCTGAAAAAAGGATTTGAAGGGATAAATGTAAGAGAGGTTATCGGCAAGATTCGAACTAAGCACCCCCGGGTTTGTAGAACGATGCTCTTTCCACCATAGTCATACACTGCGCATACGTGTCCAGGGTGATTTTGGAAGCTTCGTATACTGGCAACAGCAGTGGAACATCATAATATAGTAATTTACAATTTCAATGGTGGAAATGGTTGCAATTTGCAAAATATTAACCCAATAGCTTAGCCAGGAGATAGGTAATATTAGTTTTGTCTTCTGCTCAGTTTCACCAACTAAGATATATTTTAGTCATTTCCCATAGAAACTTTTAAGGGAGTAGAATGTGTATCATGATGTGTCACTGAAGCGGCCCTATATAAAGCTTTCCAACTCTCCCTGGATTGGGGTATACAACTAAGGTGGCTAGAGAAGCTTACTACACATGAAGGTTCCATGTTTGAATCCTTCAAGAAACTGACAATCATATCTCTCACTCATATCTTTTGAGATTATGCATTATGCTCAAAAATGAATATGAAACTAAACTCAGCGACGCGACAGCCCGTAGAGGGCCAAGGCCTACTATGCCCATCTCAGTTTTCTTGACCTTGAGCTCTGAGGTGCAGGAGCAGATGTTCCGGTCAGGTGCTCAGTCGAACGCGGAACCCCCAGTGTTTAGTTCCCAAGCATACTTGGTACTCATTTATCGACCCACTGAAGGGATGAAAGGCTGAGTCAACCTTGCCCGGCCCGAGGATCGAACCAGGGACCTGTGGCACGACAGCGCGAATCGCTACCGCTCAGCCACCGGGCGTCCAAAAAAATGAATATATGCTGTTCAAATTTTGAATGGGTTTCCAAATCCGATTATTATTTCTTTTGGAGCTATTTTGACAGATTTTTGCTCAATTTTTTTACAGTGCTATAACTGTGACTTCCCGACTTAATGCATTGTATTACACACCTTACCAAAATTAATATCTACTTTAAAGAGATAAGGTTTCATAGTTCGGTTTATTTCTAATTTTAACTTTGTAGGCCTAATTTTAAGGTAGTTTTTAACTTTTAACCAAATTCTTTCGACTTTTGGAGAGTTTTTACTAATTTTAACAAAATTATCTGAAATTCAACCTATTTTTAATTAACCTAAAATTTAACATAGTTTTGTTCCTTAGTGGACGAATAGCATCATACGGGTCTCGAAAAATCACCGAATTCATGCATCAATGTGGGTGGGTGACCACTTTGAAGGGACTGTTACTTACTATCAGTCCTCATTAAGCTGCTCTACAGTAAAGTGCTCGACCTCGAGCGCAGGTTGTTTAGCTACAAAAGGGGAAGAGCCATCTAATCTGCCGAAGATTAAAATTGTGATGGCATGCCTTCGGATCATCATCAGATGTGTTTCCCAGACCGTCGCGAACAGGCCGTTGTGCATCTCTGGAGCAACGTAAACAAAATACTACTGCTGCTTCATACTTTTATGTCAATTGAAAATTTATGTCAGAAATATAAGGCGTTTTGGTTCATAACAGTCGTACGTAGTGCTACTACTTACCTAATCTAAGATACAATATAGCCGAAAATATGGGTTAAAACTATTGTGTAAACTAATGGTCACTACCGGTAAAAAGTCAACAAACATTAATGAATATAAATAAAAAAACTGTCTACTTGCGATCGCCATTTTCTTGTCGAAGAACTATTGTCTAATGGTCTAAAACTATTGTCTAAACTAATGTTCACTACTGGTCAATAGCTGACGAAAAATAAAGAATAGAGTTAAAAAAATTGTTTGCTAACGATCGTCATTTTTTTGTTTAAAATAAATTTTGTACGTGTTTCATTATTATTATTTTTTTATAAATTTTAAACTATCATAAATATTTTGCAATGTAAAAAAAGTTGTTGTATAGTTTTGTTTGGTGCAAAGGTAAACTAAATTCATTTATAAGTACTGAACTCTAGTTATCGAGCAAAAAACTGTAAAAAATTGACGAAATAACAATTGTTTAAAAGAATAAGTGCGAATCTATTACTAAAAATATGTTTTTAGTTAAACGAAATATTTTTGAAATGAGGACATTCAGTTGAGGTTATTTCAGCATTAAAAATGGTGGCAATTAAGCAGCAAAATCTTTTCACAGTGTATAATATTCCGAAAATTACTTTATTTTAAGTTTCTTACTTAAAGTGTTTCAACAGTTTGGAAATGAACAGTTTATGTCATCATATTTTGAGAAATTTCTC